CACGAAGAGGTGGGTCTATTTGGGGGGGAATGGAATTAATTAAATCATCAAATTGAATTTTTTTAAATGTTTTTCTCTCAGGTACTTTGATAAAAAGAGGCAGGCAGCAAAGAAACAGCAGAAGACTGTGGAAGCCTCAAACAAGGTGAGTCGCACTCAAAGGGAAGGAGGAAAGTTCTGTGATAGTGAGACACATATGGGTTTTTTAAAAATCTCTTACCAGTTTTGTGAAGATATTTAATCAGTCTTTTATGTATCGTCAGTTATTTTGAATGGGTGGTTAGGAGGTGCTCTGCTGTGGTTTGCTCCTTCTTTCCTGTGAAATATCTGTTGTCCTTTTCTCTCTTCTTTTTCTTTGTATACTACTCTCTAGTAGCATCTCTAATTTTCACCTCTAATGTGACCTATTTGTTACAAGTGCCATAAAATTAAGTCGGGAGTAAAATCATGATCTCTCATAACATTAACATGAACTGTGTTTTTGTCTGTGCAGGCCTTTAAGTCAGCAGAAAAAAAGACGAAACAGACACTGAAAGATGTTGCTGTGGCTGCAAGCATCAACAAGACTAGGAAAACTTATTGGTGAGTTTGGCAAAAGTGTATGCTTTGTTTCCATTTTCAAAGACATTTTTGCTGGCTCTGCTAAGCAGTTATCAGGACCTGACATTTGGAATAGAAGCTCATTTAGCTCAGTTGGCATCAGGCTAGATAATGAGGCAGGAAACCTTGGTTCAAATCTCAAACAGTATTCCTTGAACATGATTTGTTTAGGTGAGCTTTCTGATTCTTGGCTGAGTCCTAAAAGAGATAGTTGTAAAATCTTTGGCACAGCCTCCTAGATAACATAAGAGTACAGAAATAAGCAATAATTTTGAAGCTAGAGCATGCCATGTGATGTGGAACACCTTTTCATCAGAAGAGGAAATGTAACTGAGGTGTTATTGGTAAACTCATGCAGTGCAATTACCACTTTTTAAAAAGTTTCTAGTCGTGCCTTTTGTTGTCAGTGGAGAAATATTAGTATTACTAGAGTACTCTCTCCTATCTCGGAATATCTTTATTGAATAATCGAATAATCCTTCCTGAAGTATTTAAAGCTTTTCTCATTTCTATGGCTACTAAGAATATTTGATTTTCGAGTGGAAATGGAAGAATGAAGGTTTCATTTTCTTTCGTGATGCCCTCTGTTATGTTTCCTACAGGTTTGAGAAGTTCTTGTGGTTCATCAGCTCGGAGAACTACCTTGTGATTGGTGGCAGGGATCAGCAGCAGAACGAGATAATAGTCAAGCGTTACATGAGGCCAGGTGAGCTCGTCATTGTCTTATCAGGGTTATGGTTGAAAAGACACTTCTATAAATTTGGTTGTTTTTGACATTTAGTTTGCCATTAGGATGCATCACTTTGAGCAAACAATACGAAACAAACTGTTATCAAATTAAGTATACCAATGCTATTGCAACCCCCCACCTCTTTTAGTCCTTAATATCCTGGCTTCTTTTCAAGATAGATGTGTCTTTGATTCATCTAAAGAAAGACAAATGAACAAGCTTTAAGATGATACCAATAACCCCATTTGTCCCAAAATTGATGAGCGCCTGATTCCACCCCATCATGACACATACTATCTTGTCCGCATCTTTTTGTACATCCCTCAATATTCTCTTGTATTTCATATTCAGGTGACCTTTATGTCCACGCAGATCTCCACGGAGCCAGCAGTTGTGTAGTGAAGAACCCTACTGGTATGTTATGACTTGAAGTTCAGCTGATATTACCTCTTTTTCTTTCTCCTCCTCCTTCTCAAGCTTATCCTGCGTGTGGTATTCCAGTTACCCATATGTGACTCCAGCAAACGGAGACTACTCAGACACTGTACCCATCTCCTCTTCCTGTTCCTTCTCCTTCTGCTCCTCCTGCTCCTCCTCCTTTTCCTTCTTTTTCATCCTTTCCCTTCTTACTTCTCCTTCTCCTTTTCTTCCTCCTACTTTCATGTTCACTGAATCCAAAGGTGTGACTCACATTTTCATTTTTATCGACAACCACAGGGACATCTGTTCTGAACATGTCGCCCTTCAAGTATGAAGGAACCATTGGTGCCCCAAAGTGCTTGCTTTAGATATAAACAGTTGATCTCTTGGTACAATCCCTGAACATAAGACAAAGCCAAAGCCATTTACCAAATATGAGGGAGGCAAGTAATTCTTTTTCGTTGGTTAAAAAATGACAATGACATGCAGCCTCTTTCCAGAAAATGAAACTCTATATTAAAGGGAAAAGTTTCACTTTTTTCTTCCATTGAAGTGCAGAGTGTTGATTCCATCTCTTACTCATTCTCTTCCTCTCTGATATGTTTCTTAACTGTTCAATTTAATAATAACCAGTTTTATGTCCTTGTTCCTCTTTTTGACTGATGACTCAAGTCTCTCCCTCTACTTGCTTTGTCAGGTGAGCCCGTTCCGCCCAAGACGCTGAACGAGGCTGGCACGATGGCCATCTGTAACAGCGCAGCCTGGGACTCAAAAGTGGTCACCTCGGCCTGGTGGGTTCATCACGACCAGGTCTCCAAGACAGCTCCCAGCGGAGAGTACTTGACCACTGGAAGTTTCATGATCAGAGGTGAGTGAGTTTTGGAATGTGAATGTGTTTTCATGCATTTGAGGTTTGTGTGTGTTCATGTGTGTTGTTGTAGTTTTTTTTGTGTGTGTGTATGCATGCACACCCACATGTGTGTGTGATTGGGTACCTTTATTGGTTTTGTGTCCCCTTTTTCATATAGTTGCTTTAAACCAAACTTTTTTGGCATGATGAATTTATTTGGTTAAAAGAACTTAGTCCCAAGCTTTGCTGTGTGGTCTTTTATGTGATACTATGTTTTGATGTATAATTTCATCTTATACTTTAATGTGGTTTCATTGAAAAGTTGAGAGAGGAAGGTACGGGAAAGGAAGAGAATGAGTAAGAGATGGAATCAACATTCTGCACCTCTATGGAAGAAGAAAGTGAAATTTGTTCTTGATAATAAAGTTTTGTTTTCTAGAATGTAAGTGTCTATCATTGTCGTTTTTGGGGTTTTTTCAAACCAGGGAAAAAGAATTACCTGCCTCCCTCATATTTGGTATATGGATTTGGCTTTGTGTTCAAGGTAAGTTAAGTAAATTTCCTTTATAGTTGAATTGCTGAAATAGGACTGTGATTTTGGAGGGGGGGGGGGGGGATTTTTAATCTGGAACTTTACCTTGAATGTGTGAGGTTTTAAGTGTCCAAAAGTATTTTAAAATTAAATTAGGACCAATGAAGTTTGTTCAGAAATACTACAGAGAAGTAAATGGCTGTGAAATACTTTATTTATCTCAATCAACAGACCAATTTTTTTATTTTTTTTTTCCTGTTCTATGATCTGAGTGGAAAAAATAGCTGTGGAGGGGTCAGTTTTTTAATGATTTATAGCAGATATAAGGGTCATAGAATGCTCAACATCCCTAAAAAACCCTCAACTTTGAACATAGTTTGTGGTGCCTGTGTTCCTTGAAATGTGGTAAACGAATGATCCAACTGAAGGGGAAGCCCCTTTTAACCTGTGTTTTGACTTTTTTTAAATGTAGTATTTAGTTTAAGGATAACCACGAGAACACTAGCTTTTGTTTTTTTTGTGTAAGGTTTAGTGACCAAAATGACATCACAAAGCATTAATGCACAAGATAACAACATTCTTTCGATTGCGAAGGGCCACAACAGCATAGTCTTATTGAGGGGTATATTAAAAGCAAAGCATCTGAGCAAACAACCATTTCCCATTTCCCCCTTACATTTTTAAAAATGTTATAATGACTCTGTCCAAAACATCCATCTGTCAAAGACAAGGGCTCCTTCTTAGATAATTTTGACAATGCATGAATTAGATCGATCGTGGACTACTTCTAGATCTAATGCTCAACAAAAATTTCCTGGTGGTTTTCCCCACAGCTGGAGGAAGGCAGCATAGAGCGACATCTGGGTGAGAGAAAAGTGAGAGCAGTGGACGACGACGCCATGTCAGTGACTGACTCGACCGTGTCGTCAGTGCCTGGCGCGGAGGATGTTGACATCGAGATCAGTGATGATAGCGACGAAGATGACGACAATGACGATGCCGCTGGTGCTGAGAATAAGACAGATGCTGCAGCTGAGGGTGATAAGTCTAAAGTGACTGACAGTGTTTCTGATGATGTTCCCTTGTCAAGTGCAGTGTCGCCAGAGGCAGGTGCTACTTCTGCTCCAGCTGGCGCTCCAAAAGAAGAAGTGAAAGAAGATGTTGTGGAGCAGAAAGCTGGTGCGGCTGGTGGTGGTGATGATGGAGATGATGCAGACGATATGGCTTTCCCTGATACCAACATTGCTTTGACTCATGTGAAGGGTGACAAGTGAGTCCTCATTTCTTTTCTTTTTGATAAATCATAATGATATTTATCCTACTGTCATTCCGTTTTTATAAATCTTAGGATTTATTGTGGGCTGACCACTCAAATTAGCTTAGGGGTATGAATAACTTCAACTCTATGGGCAACTTCATAGGATGATGGGATGTCCCTTATATTTCATTACTTCTCTTGCAGAGGAGTACCATTTTGTGCGGGGGGGTTTTCTGTTCAGCAGTTCACTTTCATATCAATTTATCAAGTGAGGGTCCAGTCTAACAACAATAGATACCCTCCACTCCCTGAAACTCTTCATGTGGGGGCCATCCTTCAATTTGACCTATTTAGTATCTTATATGGTATTTAACTCATGTAAAAGCTGAAATAAAGCAACATAGATTTTAGTGGGAGGCTTGACGTTGCCTAATATGTGGTATCCATATTTGTCTGAAAAGAATGGATGTGTCAGGACTATAAATGGATGTAGTTTTCGGTAAATATAGATGGGATTTCTTCTTCTTTTATTTTGATAGTTACCTTAATAAGCAGGATAAAAGATTAAGGGGAAGACCACGTGGAACCTGGAGAGGAATTACAGAAACTGATGTACGAAAAAGGGGGAAGACATGGGATAACACCAAAAGGCTAAACTAGGATGGAGAAAAGTAAAGAGTATTTGTTCGTGGCCTATACCCTGGTGCAGGTTGAGAAAGGCAATGATGATGTTGTTGTTGTTATCGATCCAGCAACAGCTGGGCTCTCGCCCTTCTGTCCAATGCCATGTAGTTTGTGTCATGGCATTGTGGACTGGGGTGTCTGTGGACTGCCTGCCCACCCTGAGAAGGGGCCATTCATGTTGAGGATATGAGGGTACAAGGAGTTTTCATGAGACTGGAAAGACCTAACTGCCCAGTCACCGTGTAATTCCAGTAGGATTCACGTTGCCCATTCCCCGCCACCAATGGCTACTGGCTAAAGTTTTCGACTCTTTCATGAGGTATCGGCCAAGTGGGAAAGCCATTGGATCGTCACGTCCTGGGTCGTTGTGCCTTCACTAAGAGGTTTCACAGCCAGAGAGCAAGTCAGGCATTCCGCTCGGTCCATCCCCTGCACCCAGACACTCTCAAACTGGCTGGTACCTTCTCAGCCACAGAGGGTGTGTTGATAAAAGCAGTAGAGGTGTTAGGTAGATTAGACACCCACTCAAGGGAGAGTAGGGGTGTGTTAGTGAGGAGCATAGCGTCTACCACGCATCGGTGGGTTCTGCCTCCTGCACCTTGTGGGGCCACACCTGCTCCCATCCTGTTGTTTTAACCCCTCTAGGAAACGGGGGGGTTGATTTGTTGGCGCCAACAACTCGCCATTCGCCAGAGCCGTGTCAATGAGGACAGGGACCACTACAGGCAGGTACGGTTGGCTGGATTGGGAGAAGCTGTTTGAGACGCTTAGGCATTTCTCAATATTTAAATGAGACCCATCACCAGTCCTTGATCCCCGGCAATGATGATGACTTTGATAAGAATGGATGATTCACCAGGGTTTCAGTGTGATCGTCTACTTCTTAAATGTCTTGAATAAATGAAAATAAAACAAAGTGGGGGAGAAAAACTGCTGCAAGATCTTTTCTATTCAAATATTTGACTTGCAAGAGCTTAACTGGTACTTGAGCAGGATTGATAATGCTGTGAGAGTTGAAACCCCTGAAAGTCAAAAGCACTGATTTGTATGAATCTTTTCTTCATTTCGTTTATAAATTTCTATGCAGGTATGAACTTCAGAGAGAGGTCAGCACCACAAGCACTGTCAGCGAGGCGTCAGACGTGTTTGACCTCGGTGATGGCGTGCCAGTGTCCTTAGGACAGAAGGTAAGCGTTCCAGGTACCTTGAACAAGTAAACAGGCACTTTTCTTGTTTTGCAGTTCTTATTTTTTCACCTCTCTCAAGACCCCAAAAACATCTTGAGGGGTGCTACTAGTTAGCTTTCAAACTTACTGTCAGCAGTTGTACCCAATGCAAATACGAGGGGGGGTCAATGCAAGTTGTTCGCTTATTTAACTCTAAAACCAGGTGAGCCCACCTCCTTCAATCACAAAAGTCTCAACTTCTAATCAAGATGGATGGGTATTTTTTCATTGAAAGCAAGACAGATGTGAAAACTAAGATAGTACTATAGCTCCATTTCCCCAAAAATTGATGAGCGCCTGATTCCAACATGTCGTGACAATTGGGTCTACTTTATTGAGGTTACAGGCACTCATGTAAACAGCACCTCTCCTGCTATTTTAATGGATATGAAATTGTTGGGAAAAGTTTATTGTCATTGTAAAAAAAATTTATTTGCTTGTGTAACTGTTAAGATTTGATACCTTATCATTTAATCATATGTGTTTCAGACATCGAGCAAAACTGGAAAGATCTCAGCAAAGCAAAGACGGTGTGTAGTATAGTGTTGTAGTGTTGTCATGGACAGTTTACATATCTTTTTGTGTCTCTAGTCTGTCTCTCTTTCTGAATCTTTTGATCTCTCCATCTCTCTGTCACCTTTGTGTATGTTTATTTTCCTTTCTGGCTCTGGCTTTTAATACTTACCCTTTTGTATTATCTGCATAAATCAACTGCTATGTGGATAAGCCTTTATTTAGATTCTGACAAAGATGCAAACATTGTTTTATATATACATAAATCATACTTCTATTTAAAATGGGTTTTTTTTATACACACACACACACACACACACACACTTGCACGTACACACATGTACGTTTGCATCTTTTTTATATACGCATATATATAATATGTTTTAATATGCTCATGAAATGAACTTAATCTTTGTGCGTTACCTTCTTTTGCCTTTTATGTTTAATCTTCCCATCCATCTTTGTAGGGACATGAAGAAAGGAAAGAAAGGCAAAGGAGGAGGTCAAGAGGATGAAGAAGAGGATCAGGTCTCTTGGCTACATCCCAGTAAGCAAGAGAAGGAAGAAGATGCTGCTGAGGGTGCTGAAGAGGAGGGAGAGAGTAAAGAGAAGGTGAATGGCATGTATTTGCTGATGTGATAAATAAATTGTACGAGGCGTTGTCTTAAATTTGTGTTTTATCTCCCGGTTTGGCTAGTTCACAGTAGTTGGTGGTTTTTTGACAACATGCTTTATTTTTTGTTTCCATTTTTTGTGTGATCAGGTGGTTTGTTGTCTCCTAGTTTTATGTTTTGTGGTGTTATTGTTGCCTGTTTCCATCTGAAATGTAGGCTACTCTGTAAAGACTGAAAACATTTCTGATTTGTTTTCTTTTGGATTTCTGAGTCCAGTTACTTGGTCCGCCAGCTTTGATCGGGCTGTAAATTTCTCAGTCAATTTATTCTGTCTGTCTTGCTCTTTTCTGGCTTTAAAGACCATTATTATGTCTTTGTGTTTTCTTTCATTCAGTCAAATTATGAATAATGAAGGAAAATGGTATTTAAATGCCATTTTCAAACTTTGAAATGGTATTTCTCAACGGAAAAATGTTCTCATATATTGTAGTATTAGTGTTAACATTGCACCTCTTAGAACATATGAGCCTGCTCCTCGAGCTCTTTACATGTACGACTGTATGTTTAATTGAATTCTGTTTATTGTGAGTTGAGTTGCTCTACCTTTAGATATACGGGGAGGTTCGGTTGTCAAGAAGTGTTCGGAATGAGTTTTACTTCCTCCTTTTATTCTGTGTCTCAGTTTTCTGTCTGTCTGTTTGTATGTTTACCTGTTTGTGTGTCCCTTTGTGTCTCCTCCCCCCCTCCCCCCCCCCCCCCCCGCCTTTTTTTATCTCATGTTTTTTCCAAAGTCTAAGAATTACAATATGGATGCATTTTTTTATTACTGTAAGTGAACTAGATATGTCATCTCTGTCTTTTTTATTACACCTGTTATACCATCACTGTCTTTGAATTTGCCTTTTTTGGGGGTCTTTTTAAAAGATACACTGACTGCTAGTTCCATACTGTTTGCTGGCCTAACTGTCACCTGAAATCATTGTCTTGTCAGGGTCCCCAAGGTGTGCCTCCCAAACGAGGTCAAAGAGCAAAGTTGAAGAAAATGAAGGAGAAGTACGCTGATCAGGATGAGGAGGAACGCAGACTGAGAATGGAAATTCTGGCTGTAAGTTCATTGTGATAATGTTAATATAATTCATGTCTATACTGCTGTGAGCTGACAAAACGCTTTTTTAAAAAATTCATAGCAGTTTCGGTAAAAAGAGGTTTTTTTTAAATCAGCATAACCAGTGAAAAATAGTGTTCTTTCAGAATTTGATTTCGATTTTATTAAAAAACTAATGACAGTTTCACTTTGATTTTTTCCCACAGTAGGGTAACTGAACAGGCTTGCCATTTAGCACCTAAAAAATTTTGCCGCCAAAATGAAAAAAGTTATTTTGTCAGCTTACGGCAATATAGCATGTTGGACTATGCTTTTTAAAACTTCTATCAGCGTATGGCTTTATGTGTTTTACACTATTCGCGATCAAAACAAAACTGATCACAGGCTTTCCAAAAGTACAAAAATCTACTTCCTTAAAATTTTTAGAATTTTTAGTATTTCTCATTTAGTAGACTCAAAAGGCAGTACACAGCATCCCGGTAAAATTTTTAAGAGTGAAAATGTCATTATATTGTGTTTGTCTTTCTGAGATCTTTTTCAACAAAAAGCACATGTGATGGAATGTACAACCTGAATACTTGCTCTGCCCTCAACACCTTTCTTTCTCGTTTTACTGACTGCACAACTTTTGCGTTTGTCCTCAGTCTTCTGGTGCCCAAAAGGAAGAAAAAAAGAAGAAAGGGAAGAAAGGCAAGGAGCCACCACCACCGGCTAAGTCACAAAGGCCTGGTTCTAGTCAGAAACCTCCTGCCAACCAGGTCAAAGCGCAAGGTCAGAAGGTGCAGCAGGGAGATGGTGCCTCTCAGACACAGACAGTACCTGCTGATTCTGCAGACACCTCCCATAAAAGTGAGAAAACAGGCTTGTTGCTTCTCATGATCTCTCAAGAGTGCGTCTCTGTCCTGACCCCCCACCCAACCCCCATCGAACCACCTAAATAAAAAATCAGTTGTTACTGACTTTTAGTTATCTATATAACAGTTTATGAACTGCTTATGTGTGATCGGAAAGGGGGAGCTTTAAATCTTTTCACTTTCTATCTGTGAATTTTTTACTGATGTAGAAAATATCCTTATTGACTTCTTTTTAAAAAGTTCGTGAAAAAAACAACAACAACAGGCTGGCCTTTGGTTTTTATTGCATTTAAAATAATAGTAATGTAAAATGAAAGAGGCTTTTTAAAAATTGATCAAAATTGCTAGTCTCAGAGCTCATCTTGTATTAGTTAATGGTTAACTGGGAAAAGACTCCAAAGGATTAGATTCATTATCTTTCTCACTAAAATTAAAAAATGAATGGTCTGACTTTTAGTATGAATTTTGGATGCAACATGTTTGTTTTTGTTTCACCAGGTTTGGACAGACGAGAGGAGAAAGATCCTAAGCCAAAAGCTTCTGCAAAAGAGGTGATTTGTTTACTGTCCAAGAGTTGGGAATAGATCGGTTTCACTATGAATAGATGTGTCAGCCTGGTAAAAAAATATATATCATTTACACTTTATGTGAGAGTGCAGAATACTATTATTAGTAAAAAAATTTTGCCCAGTACAATAATAGAAGCTATGAGTAATGTGTTTTTAACTCTTGTTTTTAACCACATGTAGTGGATTTCCTTTACAACCTTTTCTTATAGTATGTTTTTCTGAATATACTGATAACCTTTTTATGCCTCCTGGCTGTGATTGAAAGAAGGTGGGAAGATTATGAATCCTTTGCGTTTTTAGAATGTCTTAAAACTGCCTCCTTGACATTATCTAAAGCAGTAAAGCAGTAAGACCGAATTTTTGTTTATTACAATTTACTATTCTCATGGTATTCATCATTGTGTAATTTTTCACCCAGGATCATGAATCTGATGGAGAAAAGGAGGAGGAAGGAGCAGCTCAAGATGTAAGTGGTGGCATTTTTAAAGCTGTATGTTAATGGAAGGTTTTCAATCTCAAATGCTGAATGTAATCTGCTGTCTTAGTAAATTTGTCAAATGTCAAGTGTTCTAGGAGATTACGATTATATGTAGCCTATTTAAGTGGTCAGAGAGCATGTTTGTAGATAAAACATACTTTCTTTTTTATCCTGCTTATTAATACACATTATTATATTACCAATTTTTAAAAAAATCATTGCCTTGAATAAAGCAATAGGATTAATGAAAAAAATGAAAATCTATAAGTTTTATATAATCATGCCCTCTGTTTGTTTGTTTTAGTAGAGGTTTTACGGCGCTCGCAACTGCATAAGGTCATATGAGCGCCAAGGGGTGGATGTCAACGGAGAAGTCCTTACAGGGAATCAGACTTACTCTGCTCACCTCTCTAGCTGTAACAGCACAAAGTCTACTTCGACTATCAAGGCACCCCGGAAATAACGGGTCACAAGAGTGTGACAAATATACAAAAGAAGTAGAGGAAAATTATGACAGTAAGGATTAGGAAAGAAAAAGCAGCAGTTCCTTGTTGTAGTGCAGGCACAGTTATGAGCATGACATTGTTGGATCAGCCCATTTACAATTCTACTGTGCATTAGAACGAGTAATGTCCCCTTTGGGAATGTCCTAAAGACACTTCAGTCAGTGGCACTGCCGCGGGGGATCATGCCCTCTGTGTGAAAGTTAAAAACATGTTTTACATATAGCTGTTTCTTAATGTTATGTGTATGTTATTAACAGGTACCGATGTTAGGAACCCTAGTATGGTTGTGGTGGTTGCTCATCTTAATTGCGTTGATAGCAGGGCTTAACATAATATATACTCTGTGTATGTAGCCATCAGTATTCTTATTCCAAGCTCGTCATGGCCACCATTTCGTTGATGGATACTTCTAATGGTTCTGCTGAGTTTACTCTATAGCTTATGGTCTGTTGAAGAGGGTTTTTAACTGGTTATGTTTTTCTTTATTTTTGAGAGGCTCTGAGAAAACCTATCCCCAGGTGAAAATTAATTAGTCTGACATTTTAGCATTTTTTTAAAAAGCTTCATTTTCCTGGAGCTTTTGGAGTTTCAGTTTAAAAAAACAAGCACAGTACTTCAGATGAAATGGGGTATGAAAAATAAGTTTTAAGAAAATTGCACTGCTAGTTTTTTCACAATGAACCCGAATAATGAAATTAAAGATGTGGTGCTGTTTTTGTGGTCTTCAAAATACGTGTCTATTGGATTTCTTGATTAAGGCAGGAAAATAATTTGCCATTTTGTGTGGGGTTCATTTAAAGTTTATGTTCATCTGTAGGAGTAAACAATTAAAAATTTTAGCTGATTTCTTCCTTTGTGTGTTATAAAAATATTTTGCGAAAAAAAATATTTATAAAAGTATTTGATCAAAATCATTTGAAATGAAAACTTTAAAATCTTTCGATGTTGAGAAAGCTTCACTTTGTGATAGAAATTAAGGCTTTCAGTGGAGTTTTAATAATATCTCAAAATCACCTTGTACCGGTCCATTAAAAGAATTAAAAATAAGTGTGAAATATGTTGGTTATTTTTCTGTTTAGTCATATTTTTCACTCCATCACCTTTTTCAGGACATGAACATCCTGAACTCATTGACAGGCCTCCCAGTGACGGAGGATGAGCTCTTGTTTGCCATCCCCATGTGTGCTCCGTACAACGCCATACTTAGCTACAAGTATGTACTTATCTCAAGTAGTTCACAATTTTGACAAGAGTTTTCTCTTTGCAGAATTTTAGGATGGGGCATTGATGCCTTTTTTTCTTCTTGTGTGCTGTTAATGCATGTGATAAGACTGTTATGAATGTAACAAATTTTTGATTCTTCCAAATGAAAATTGTTGAGAGTGGGTTCGTGTCGAGACCACCTATTTTGTATTGTTGAAGATAGACAGTATTTTAGACATCCACCCTCATTAGAAATCTTCTCTATACGAGAATGCGTCAAATACAGAAACTCAAACTTAATTAAGAATGTGTATCTATTATTGACAAAAATTTTCTCAGGACGTTTGTGATATTAAAAAAAGCTTTCAAAAATGTGCCTTGATGTTTAGATAGATAGTGACAAATGATGTCTAGCCAACATGTTCTGTGCAATTGTTACGCTATTTACCTTGCTCTCTAAAGCTGTTAGTTCTATTCTGCTGTGAAAAAGATGGAAATATCCCTCCCAAGCCGCTTTTTTTAGATAGTTATGGTTGCAATTTATACGTATCGCAAACTTTCCTGACTTTTCTTCACAAAATAATTGTTGCTGTGGCTTTTTCCTCAAGGTACAAGGTAAAATTGATGCCAGGCTCCACAAAGAAAGGCAAAGGTGTGTGCTCTCTCATTTCCTCTCACTCTCTCTCTCTCTCTCTCTCTCTCTCTCTCTCTCTCTCTCTCTCTCTCTCTTTCTCTCTCTCCTCCCTCCCCCCTCCCCCCGCTTACTTCAATCCAAAATAATTTGTGTCATTAACGTTTCAAATGAAGTTGTCAATATCATAATACAATTAATGGAACTGAAAGCATTTTGTTTTTAAAATTCTGTAATATATTACGTAGTTCCTGGCAGTTTTACAAAAAGGACAGCATTTCCTGGCTGTTAATGTAATGTGCTATCCTACAGGCCAGTGCTTGTCAATAAATGCTGTAGATTATTTGTTTTGTGTGGCAGGAATATTACAGAAATAGATTCCTGACCAAAAAAAAAGAATCTTTGGAAGTGACATTGATGAAAAAAAAAACTACACTGAAAATTGTAGTCTGCTTTGAAGTTCATGGGGGGGGGGGTTTGGGGGGGGGGGATTCTTTACTCGAATGCTTTTTGACTTGTGCGTGACCTTCTTTTTGCACTGTTTCTTCAGCTGTCAAGACAGCTCTCAACATGTTCGTTCATGAGAAGTCGGCATCACCACGAGAGAAGGACTTGCTAAAAATACAAAAGGTGAATGGTGGCTTTTCACTTTTACCTCCATATGCATAGTTTGAATTTGAAAATAGCTCACAATGATTGTTACCTTTATAAAATGACTCCTGAATATAGAATGGATACATTTATCATTGCCATTGAATTGCTATATAGAATGTCATCGGTTTTTCTGCCTAGATTTTTTAATGCTTATTACATTTTAGTTGTTTGCTCTGAAGATGTTGATAAAAATGACAATGGCATCAATAGAAATGGAATTGACTGTTGAATGTTGAAGGAAAAAACATATGATTATTACGTCTCGAAAAATGAATGCCATCATAATCATAAGTAACCTCCATATCTTCCTCTCTTTCCCTCTCTTCACAGGATGTTGATTTGTCTAGAAATGTACCAGGAAAGGTGAAAGTGGCAGCCCCGAATCTTCACAAAAACAAGAGATGACTTCGATCCTAAAATTGTCATTAGTTTCATTATTTGTTTTCATGTTTATTGTGTTAAATTCAGATTGTGAGAAACTTGTTTCAAACTGCAGACAGGTGAGCTCTGTGATATTTTGTCCTCTTCCTTCCTCTCTCAATTATCCTATCTAGACTACTTTATAGAGATGTCTTGCGGGCTTGTAAATTCTATCTTGATTACGTTCTGATGACTGGTAGGCTCTATGCTTTCACTTTCTGTTTTTTCTTCCTGTTTTCTGTTGTCTTTATCTTCACTTACTTTTTGACACTTGATTTAAGTTGATAGCTGTGATTTCATTCATGTTATATAGGTCAGTGTTTGTACACGTGTATATCCATCAGTGAATGTCATGCCTAAAGACTTTCAGCCTGTCAGGTCTGCTTTAACCAGTTTTATTATAAAGGCGAGTCCCAGACCTAAATAAACTCTCTCTCTCTCCCTCCCTCCCCCCTTCTCTCTCTCTCTCTCTTTCTTTCTCTCTCTCTTTCTTTCTCTCTCTCTCTCTCTCTCTCTCTCCCCCCTCTCTCTCTCTCTCTCCCCCCCCCCTCTCTCTCTCTCTCTCTCTCTCTCTCTCTCGCTCTCTCTCCCTCCCTTGCTTCCTCCTCTCCCGCCCTTGCTTCCTCCTCTCCCTCCCTTGCTTCCTCCTCTCTCTCTCTCCCTCTTTTCTCTCTCTCCCTCTCTCTCTCTCCCTCTCTCTCTCCCTCTTCTCTCTCTCTCTCTCTCTCCCTCTTCTCTCTCTCTTTGTCTCTCTCTGTCTCCCTCCCCCTCCCCCCCCCTCTTGCATTCTCAGAATCAGAATCTAGTGATATCGCTGGGAAAAGTTTTCGGTTAGTCTACTTTTTTTTTCTGCTGGGAAGTAGCCCTCACAGCACTACAGTCCATACTGAACCTTACAGGCAACAAAAATGTATCAAAATAGCCCTCCCTCAAAATGGTCCACATTATGTCTGGTGTTTGTATTACATTAACAACTGATCAACTCCACTCTCTAGTGACTTGCCTCCATACTGTACTGCACCTATAAAAAATGTTGGTATGTTGTCCTTTTTCACAAAATGTTCAAAGACTTATGTGAAAGCATTAAACTTAAACTGAAACCAGTGATATTGTTGTGTTTTCATCATCATTCTTTGTGATTCTATGGCCTAGTTATCGTATACCAACCTCTCTTTTTTTTTGTTAGCATCTTAGGATGATATGGTTGATGAATTGTCATCATTAGGACTCAAGATTTATTAACCTTGATTCCTTCCCTTTTTAATTAAATTCAATTTACTTTGAGACTTCACTGGGTATAAATTAATCTGGGGGGCACCCTTATTAGTTTTAAGAAAAGGATAGATTAATCTGACCGAACCATGGAAAGTTCAGCTATGATGCATGACAATCATTACCTTTTTTCAAGGGTTCTCATGCTCCAGTATTTTTAGAAGGATTTCCTTTTGTTGTCTGTGCTCTCTGTGGTTCAGTCCTTCTCGTGCCATTATTCAGAAATTCTACAATCATGATAAATTCAAACACATATTTCATTGTTGTTTAATTTTACTCAAACAAACAAACAAAATAGAATCAAATGGTTAACTTTTTACTGGAGATGGTGTACATGTAGTATGGTTGACACTGAAGTTACACAATAGAAATGACATTTGTTGCATTTGAAGTACAATTCTGATTCCATAGAACTGAATGTTGTGAATGAAGAGCACTGTAGGCCTAAGATGACAGGATTTTTGTCAGTGGTATGAAGGTTGGGCTCCTTATTTCACACACTAGAGACACAAGTTTTATTCCCTTCCATTTCTCAGCTGATAAGTACCCCACGCAGCTCAAACTGGCATATTATGTAGTGTAGTGGTGAGGTGAGGTGCTTCACTGTCATAGGCAGGAGACTTGAGTACGGATTCCCATGTGGGGAGAAATTTTGTTGTTGTGCATTTCGATCATCCTGCTAGGATGTTGTATTCTTCTTGGCTCGGGTTGGAGCCTGTGCCTGAATTATCTGAATTATGTTATTGGTGGTATAAAAACAATTACTTTTTTTGAAATGACAAATAGCAGCCCAACTGACCTTTAGTTTTAGAGGTGATATCAAATCAGCCCACCTCGAAAAGGAAAAGAGGTTTACAGTCAATGAGATTCAATCTTCATCTTTCATGGGTCAGTACTCAAGTACTGTTCTTTGCTTTGTCCAGGCTGTAAAATGTATGGGACTTGGATATGAAAAAAAGGGGGTTAAGTTTAAGCATGTTCAATATGCCCAGACTTCTTTATCTTATTAAAGAACTCTAGTTCCAGTTTTTCTCTGGGAATTGTAAGTTCGTTTGGGTTTTTTTCAGCGAGTTATCATGAGTGGAGTCCGCTTTAACCGAAATCTGCGGGGCCGCCGGATTTTCTTTGGCAGATCTATAACTGTTTTCAGATTAACCGTGCTCGGTGAAGCAGACTTCACTTTGCACACGTTCTTTTAAAAGAGTTTCTGAAATACATATATCCACTGATTATGATGAGAAAAAAGTGCCTGTAGTAGAATACGTTTCCTTTGAGCTAGTTAAACCAAACTTTTCAAGTTTACAATATTATGTGTACAGTTCAGCTATCCCCTTTTTCAACCTATTAAATAAAAGGAGTAATGCAACTTAGTTAAAAATCCCAAAAGGGAGATTAAGTTTAATATGACTTGAAACGGCACATTAAATAATTTCAAACAGAACTTCACCGTTGCTTTACTGTAGGCTACCCATTCTTTTTAAAAACAAGAACTGCATCGCACTGTAAAGGAAGGCTGTACCGCTGTACATTGTACTTACAGGACGGGATACCAACCTAGTTGAGGTATGAAACATAATGTTCTCGTCAGCGCGGGTTGCAATGAGTACATATATGTACATTATCCATCATTGCGGGCAAGATAAAGGGCGATAGGCCCTACTTGCAACAACAAGAAAAGAGAGAAGAATTTGAGTACGTTACTATGTTTTGGCCTGTTCGCTTTTTTTCTCAATGGAATGACAGATCTAGTCAGTGCAATGTTTGATCTCGAAAACACTCACCCCATTGACGACGTATCATTAGTATCAACATCGAAAAGCTGACATTGACATACGTTAAATTGCTTGACATGCTTTGTGAGCAACATTCCCTTTTCCCATTCAACCCACGTCGTGACTATCCGGATACTCCCCATTCTTTCACAATAGCGAGAAGGGTAGCCTTATATTTAGAACTCATGTTGTAGTAAATGAAGATATTGATGCTAGCATTGACGGCGTATTGGCTGAAGGCAACAGCCCACAGAAATTTGAACATATGTCTGGGAAGTTTAGCGTAGAACGAGTCGGGGACGATCATTGCAGCGAGCGATAGACATTGTCCGGGAAGATAGCTCAACACAATTATGGTTGAGACGAGAATCACCATTTTCACCACCTGGTTGTCGCGTCTGAGAGCTGCAACAGATGCTACCGATTTCGTCACCGTCGCCTGCAACCTCCAATCAGATTTCTGTTTCAAGGTGAAGATCAAGATGGCGGTGGAGAATAAGAGGCAAATGAAAGAGCCGTTTTGCATGAACGCTAGCATGCAGTACGTGATGAACTCCAGCAAAACCTTGTTCTCTTTCGGCACGAGTTTAAATACTGTTTTGTTCCTTGAAGGATCCCAAGACCTTTTGGCTTCGAAAGCAATGAATGAAGGGACGATGCTAGTCAGAGTGAGGAGGAACATAAGTATGATGACAACAGCCGCGACTTTTGGCGTGATGATGTCTTTGACTTTCATTGGTACCTTGACGCACAGACATCTCTCCACGGAGATGAACACGGCGATCCAGGAACTGTTGAAGGCAAACGCGTACCACGCCCAGCTGTCTGAAATTCAAAATTTGTATTAACGTTATACATTATAATATATTATTTAAAATGTATACATGATTCTTTCACTAGTAATACTAGTACTAGTATAAAATAGTTTATTCTATTTTTTTATAGTCGTTATCTCTCTCTCTCTCTCTCTCTCTCTCTCTCTCTCTCTCTCTCTCTCTCTCTGAGTGTCTGTCTCGTTCATAACCATTTTTTGTATCATGCCATGGTGAGGATTAAAAATACCACTTTTAACATAGTAAGGATACACGTAGTAACAGGCTGGACAGCTAAAGTTAGCATCCATCTCTGAAAGAACTGAATTGAGTTGATAAACAGCCTTGAAATTTGAAATGGGTTCTTAACAACCCAAACTCAAAACAGCTTAAAAGGAAACGCGAACCGCGCTTATCCGCTCCATTGTCCAGCATAATACCATAATACATATGTACCCATTAACATACCATAATGTGTGTGCCATGTTACATGTGCCATAATACACGTATAGTGGAAACCATATATAACAGTCCCGGTAATAATAGGAATCCGGTAATAACAGGTATTTTTTAATCCCCGTTTTTTCCTACACTTTGTCTCTATTAAAAGTTATCGACAATAACAGGGCTTCATCGAAGCCCAATCGGTTATAGCCGGGACAAAGGCTCACTAACAGTGTGTAAAAAGTAAGAGAGAGAGAGAGTAACACAGTGATGGAGCAAGCCCACGCAAGCCACGCCACTGCCAGCACAGGGATCTAATATAACAGGGATCTAATATAACAGGACTTTTTCTCTGGTCCCATCTTCCCTGTTATATCAGGTTTCCACTGTACCATGTTATATACATGTATCATAATACCATAATACATGTACCATGTTAAATACCATAATGTACCATAATACATGTGATACATAAAATTATACATCACTGACTAAAGTGTCTTTAGGCCATTTCCAAAAGGGGGATATTAACCTGTTCTTATGCGCAGAATAATTGTAAATGGGCTGATTCATCGATGCCATACTCATAACTGAGCCTGAACTGCAACAGGGAACTGCTGCTTTTTCTTTCCTAATCCTTACTATCGTCATTTTCCCCCTACTTCTTTTGAATGTTTGTCACACAGTCTCTGGTCACACTCTTGTGACCTGGTATTTCCGGGATGCCTTGATACTCATCGATAGTCGAAGCAGACTTTGTGCTGTTGAAGCTAGAGAGATGAGCAGAGTAAATCAGATTCCCTGAAAGGACTTCTCTGTTAACGTCCACCCCTTGGCGCTCATATGACCACTGGCACGTTTTCCACAATAGGATTTTGACGAGAGAGTAGGGACGCTAAAGTGAACATCCCATCAGCACACAGAAAGTTCCCCACGGGGATCAATGAAAAGTTGATTTTGAAATTCAAATTTTAATAGCTCCGAGATATTCAAACAAACTTAGTAACGGGTTTGAACGTTACCCCTCCCTAACTGAGTCTTTTATTCAACAAATCTTTCCTAATTTTTAACTATACTACATTTGTATTACTACCTGTATTGCTAAAAACTCACAAAGATATGTCATTCCAATTGGAAGCCATGATTCACCAGTCCACTCGAACCAGGATATTAGCGTGAAAGGGAACATATTGACAAGCGTGAGCATATCGGAGACGGCCAGTCCTAGCAGAGAGACGTTGATACTCTCACTGAAGCCTTGCCTGGTGAACACGACAACGTTCACGATATTGGCGCCAAGTCCCAGGAGCGACACCGCCCCGCTCACCAGTTGAATGATAGCTCTGGCTCTCATCAGAGAGTTGTCTAGAATGGAGAAATATTCGGTGTCCTGTGGAACTGGGGCTAAAATCGTCGTTGTATCATGTGGGTCCATTTTGATTTCGATGCGTGAGAAGTATTTTAAATTGGTCTATAAATTAATGTTGAGACCGCAGGCAGTGGCTTTTTTTTTTCTTGGAAGTGTTCGACTTAATGTCCAACAAAAGAATCAAAACTGAGCTCAGAATGTCTTCATCATGTCCAAAGTACAAAATTTCATAAACATATAGATCTATCTAGAACTAGAACTACCGTGGTTATCTTTCTACCACTACCAGTCGTGTACATTCTTGTTTCCAACAGAACGTAACGTACTCATTCTCTACCTGTACCCCCAGCACTTTTCAAAAACTGTCCTGTCTCACCAGGTGTGTTCCAAAATAATAATATGGTAGATCCATGTATCTTCGGATATTATTAAAACTTAGTTTAGTTTTGTCGTACAAATTCAACATCAATTTAAAATTGTGATGGCTACAAAAAAGATTTGCTGGTTTCTTTTTTTTTCTTTTTTTGTGTTGTTGCTGCTGTCAAGACCGACAAAGCCACAAACCAGTGTTCTTTAAAAATAATTAGCAAGCAGGATCCGTAGATCTCAAGAATAATTTCGCAAGAAATGTTTTGTTCGTATGTTTCTTGCAATTACATCATAATTAAGAATAATAGAATAAGATAGTGAGGAGGGCACTTGAAAGAATACGCGGCAAGTCATTTCATCCTGTAACTGACTGTTTTCTTTGCATGGTTTTCATTTTCGGCAGAGTTGAATAGCCTTTTCTCTGCAAGGCACTAAATTTTTGTCAACACCATTTTAATTGAATAAGTAGCTCCCGCTGCAACAATACTCTTTCTACCACTTCTAGAAAGGAGACCTATCCTGTCTTGAAAAGCTACATCTTTTGAAATTGATTTCACTATAACAACAATAAGTGGCAATTCAATGTTATTATCTTATTTCTGTGGAGGCGATTATTGTATGTTCGTATCCGTCGATAGGGTAGAAAAACATCAATTGCAGAGGAAAAATATAACAGAAGTATTTGCAACAGGTTTTGTGATTTCAAACCATGCAACCTCATCGGTCTTGACTTTTCGCTCCGATCTTTCAATTGTTGTTTCGTAGAGGGTTCTAATCCAAACCCTTGGATGGTGGGCTGACTCTTTTCTTCCCGTCACTCGTACATTATGTTCTCCTTGTTCACGTGCTGTTAAAAAAATCAATCAAAAAGACAAAGCGTTTTGGTGTGGGGTTCATTTGCTCATCATTCCACATCACTGAAGAGCGCTGTCTTGCCTTGAATCTTAGGTAACAAAGGATAATTATTTGAGTCCATCGCTTGACTAGAGTTCTCATCCCTCTATAATAATAATAATATGCTTCCACTTTATAATCAGGCAAACAGCTTGCGTTGAAGATAAGCACGCATTGCGTTGCATCCATGTAAGCGTTTCAAAGCACTCGAGTTGAGCTTCTGTAAGTGAAAGTATTTCTAAATTTGAATTTCATTGTTTGATGCTAATGGTTGTCATTTGGGTAACTTAAAGATGACAGCGTGTAACGTTGTAGTAAGAATTTTCTTTTTAAAGAAGAAAAACACAGTTTGGGAAACAGGGGCAGCCAGAGAAGCAAGAAAATTAAGACAGTCCAATCCTGACATTGACATATTATTGGCCCTACAGACCACTAGAATCTAGATCTAGTGTTCTGTTTGTATCAAATTCTTTTCCTAAAGAATAGCGCTTGAAGGTCACAAGCACGTCGAACTAACCATGATAAGCAGATAAGAGCATCACATAATCAAGAGTTGAAAAGGAAAATAATCATGTCTCTACTCAGGAGCTGCTCGGATCACTATTCCAGGGTTAGAAATTCTATCATTTGGTGTGAGCAATAGAGGTAAAAATCAATCACTGTTCCTGTATGTGGGCCTACTCGCGAAAAAGTAAGCCAAGTGAGCACTGGTCGAGAACAAGTGCATAATGAGCATAATAAGCATCTCTCTCTCTCTCTCTCTCTCTCTCTTTCTCTCTCTCTCTCTCTCTCTCTCTCTCTCTCTCTCTCTCTCTCTCTCTCTCTCTCTCTCTGCCTCTCTCGTTTAGATGGCGGCAAATGAGTCTCATACCCTGGCCAATGTGAATATCCATGACGTCTCCTATTCTCTTTACGAAACTTTATGCGATGACGAGAAATGTGGCGGAGACAGAGGAAGACGTTGGTAGATTGGAAGGCTAATAATATTATGCCACCTCTCACAAATCCTCTTTTAAATCCATTTTCTTAATTTGTTTTTTGGTGGGTTTTTTGTTGTGTTGTTGTTGTTGTTTGTTGTTGTTGTTGTTGTTGTTGTTGTTGTTGTTGTTGTTGTTGATAATGATGTTGTTTTCTTACTCTTCTCTGTTTTCTTTGCATATAGACCTACAGAAAGTTGTAACAGAAGGTGAACGTAAAGAATTACTGTTGAATGTAAAGAAAACAGAATGCATGGTAATATCCCCCCCTCCCTAAAAAATCAGTAAATCCTAGTTGTAATCTCATTAGCAAAGATGAAAAGATCAAACAAATCCAACAGTTTAACTATCTAGGATATACGATAACATCTGATGCCAAATGTTCCAAATAAAACGAAGAATTACAATGGCTAAGGCTAGTTTCAATAAAATGAGCCCAATCTTGAAAATAGAAACATCTCAATGACCACCAAAATGAAAGTTCTGAAATGCCATTATGGTGAACCATTCTATATATGGCTGTGAATGCTGGACAATCACCAAAGACAATGAAAATAAAATAAAAGCGTCAGAAATGTGGTTTCTTAGGAGACTGCTAAGAGTATCGTGGAAAGAAAAGAAATCAAATGCGGTAGTGCGTGATGAAGCCAACAATGGATGCCCACTGTTAAAAACAATCACGAAAAGACAAAGGCAGTTTTGGGACACATGAATAGACATAAGGCAGGGTCTTGAACATCTAGCTCTCTCTGGCAAAATTGAAGGCAAACAAGACAGGGGTAGGCCCAGAACAATCTACTTGGGGAACCTAAACGAATGGGTAACAGGGAAAGATCAGGGAAACGTAGATTTTTAAGAGGACCATGATCGCCGATGTTAGTCGCAGATCTGGCACTGGATGATGATGATGATAGATCTACGAGTAGGCCATCTTTATTTTTCTTTCTTCTTTAAAAAAAATAAATTATTAAATGTTTTAAGGCGCTGGCAATTGCACCAGGTCATATGAGCGCGCGAGACACATTAAACATTTTCAGTTGGTGGGAATTTTTTTGTTTTACCCGGGTAGCGGCCGAAGCCTTCTCTTATCGATTTTGACCACCAAGGGATCTTTGACATGCGAAACTTGCACTCGGGGCATCCGATATTTATAGCCCTTGTCCGAGAAGGCTAGGTGTAGATCTTTCCTTCCATAAGATCAGGCGGTGTGTCTGAAAGACAGTAGTAAACAGGAGTCAAGGAGTAGCAGTAGAAAGGAAAGCTGCAGGAAGACTAGAGTCTGGAGCCCAGAGGAGGGGGCAAAGAAGGTGAGGGGGAGGGGGTGAGGGCAGAAAATGGAGACGAAAGCAAACGACAGAACATCATTGCTAGACAGCATGAAAGGGAGGTGAAAGGAGACACATTTTAGAGAGAAAAAAATTCCGTCATTATACGGTTTCGAACCCGGAACTTATTGAATGAGAGGCGGACACCCTAACCTCTAGGCACGAGAGCACCCCCCC